TGGTATGCTCTGTGAAAGTAGGCAAGATTTTGACTGAATGAGGGGAAGAGCCAAGAAGCCAGTTCTTATGCATACTTATGAACCAAGCCTGACTGTACAAACAAGAATAAAACAATAATCATCATATGGTAATTTTATGGACAAATAAGTCACGAGTGGCTTACTTTAAAGTTAGCCCTTGGGTAAAAAGAATATTAATTTCTACACTAAGACTGTTTTGAGGGAGTAATATAGAAATAAGAACCCTCGAAGTTTTGGGGCAGGGTGGGCGATGAATCGATGTGCAGGCTTGTTAATTCAGAACATCTGCAGCTTGTTTTTTCTACATTCTACATTTCCCCAGAAGAACATTTGCAATTACACGTTCCTCAATCTGTAAAACTGCTGCCAGCCTGAGACAGCAAACAATTTTGGCAGCTGGGGGGAAAAAACCCAACAACAATGCTCGTTTTCCCAGAAGGGATGCTCGAACAATTTACACTGGGATGGGCAGGGGATCAACTTGAGATTTTTCTCTGGTTGGGATGTCCAGCACCTGCTAGCTGAACCAGAAAAAAACACATTTCCGAATGATCAATGTGGGAAGTGATGGGAAACTAACCATGGTATCATCACATCTGCAGGGAAGAAAATATGGCTTAGTCCTCATCCTCTCAGTTTGGCTTCTTGGTTTGGGCAAAGTTATGGAAGATATTCATTTTGCCCTGAAAGATGCCTTATAATATTTTAGATTTAGGAAATGGCACCTCATTGAGGCAAAGGCTGCCCTGGGCTTTGGAGGGGCACACTGGAGCCACACTTCAACAAGTAGGCAGAGCCAGCCAAAAATTAAACGTAATTAAGATGGAATAGCCTCCTTCGAGCTAAACTCAGCTCCTGGTGACTACAAGAATACCTTGGGTGAACGTCTTGGCAATAATATGGAAACAGATTGCCACTGCTTTCTTCCAAGTTATTTTTTCAATTTTCCAGTCTAGTCTATGGCCCTGGCATTTCCTAAGGTTTTCTTATCCAAGGACTAACCATGTCAAATCCGACATAGCTTTTTCGAGATTAGCCAGATTGGCCACACACCATCTCTTGTGAACAGTTTAAAAACAGTAGCAATCCAAGGATTCCCACACCTGAGTCCTACATTATTCTGCTGAAATGAAGCAAGCTTAATGAAGCCAGGAGACTTTTGATGTAGAAAGGCTCTGAGCTCCATTTCATCAGCAGGATGATTTAGTTCTACCTTTAATAATAGCTTTTGGGTGGAAGATATCTGGGGAATAACCAAGTCTGAAGCCTCATGAGATTCCCAATTTCACTTGCTAAATGGGGAAAAGGAAGAACCTCCATTGGAAAGGATGTATTTCCTGTCTTGAGAACAAAGCTGGATGGGCTCTTTCTTTCCCCCCAAACTGATCTGCTTTCCCCCCGCAAAATTATTTCCACCAGCTGTTATTGTCTTCCATCCTACAAATCCACAACAAGATTTTGCAGAACTAAAGGGCACTAAATCCAAAGTAAGTCTTATTTAGACACTAGGAACAGGGCAATTCTTTACGATTCAAGGGGTTGCGATGGGGAGCGATGAGCCACTTGGCTACAGCAAGCCGATTCAAAACAAGGAGGTTGTTGAATTCAAGCAGCATCCATACAATTGCTAAAGGAGGCTTACGGATCAGAATAGCCATATTACTCTGCTCCAGCTTCAGATAAACAGCCCCAAATGGTTTGGTTTTTCTCTTTCTACAAAAAGAGATGGCAGGATCACACTGGCTTTTCTTCTTTGGAATCAGACAGCAGCATCCATGCAAAGTCTAGCAGTAATGAATCGGCCAGAATCGCTGGAAGGTTTATTATCCAAAGATCATAAACACCCCAATCTTGCCATGTAGTGAGCATTTGGCATATAAACCAAATGCGTTGCCTGGCCTGTTTTACGGCTGGCATAAAAACGTCAGCGCACATGGGGGGGAAAAGATGGAGAAAGAAAGAAAATGGCAGGTGAAAATGATAAAGTGCCGTTTCAGGAGAAAGATGGCGCTCGGGTCTCTTTTAATCAAATGCTCACAAGGTAATCCAAATGGCTTTTCCTTGATGCAGGATCTGATAAAGAAAACGCACAGGCTTCATGGAGAAAGAGCCATCCAATAAACCAAGGGAATTAAGCCCGCAAGGGCAACATGGCTTTTCCTTGCCCCAAACCCTCCTACGAAATTGGGCCTGGGGAGTTGCAGATGCATGAGAGAGAGCAGGAGTGGGGGGGGGGGTTCAAGAAAGAAACAGCAGGAAGAAGAGCTAATGGCTCATCTCTTTCCACCAGACGGTGAGCAGAGCTGGTCTTGCAGTGTTTTCATTCAGGGAAGAAGCCATCAAAGACCAACCACCCACGCCCCACGCACACACCCAGGCTGCAAGATCTGGGAAGGGAAGCTTGGATCAAACACATAAAGAGAAATGTATGTTATTCAAACTGAAGAAAGCTTCTTCCCCCAACCGGAGCCCACCTTCCCTTCCTCTCCTTTCCAACCCCTGTTCCAGATGAGCTTTTCTCTTCCTTACAGAGAGTCCAAGGGCAAATTAGCAAATCAGACACAGCCCGCCTGTAGTTACGATACCGCTGGGGTTTGAAGATCACTGCTCTAGCAGAAGACATTCGGAAATGCTTTAAATGAAAGCTTCTGAGTGACCTACCATGACTTGCAGCTGCCTTCAGGTGAATTCTAATGGTCTACTTGACTTGGTGCAGGCATTAAAAAAAAATCTACCACTGACTGCTTTGACTTTCAAGATACGGCCTTTATAAAAATAAGGTTTCTCTCAAACTATATTCGTGATTACCATCGATTCATCATCATCTCTCTTTCGCGGTGGTGGATATAAGAAGCCTAAGCTACATGTATTCTTACTTGTATCTGAAAGGGACAAATGGAGTACAATGGAGAGGGAGAACTATAATCCTCTTTTGCGGGAAAGAAAGCCAACACGATGGTCTTGGCATATTTTGAAAGCTGAACATCTTCCTCTTTGGGTCTCAGTTCAGCGATTAATTTTTCTAAAGAGGTGCTCATCCATTTTCTGAGCTGCCTGATCAAGCTGTCAAAAATGGATCTCAGAAGTAATTATTGCCAAGGATATTTTTCCTGTCCTTGTCAAAATATGTACAACATATTTATGATTTGTAGTCAAGAACGAGTAACTATTTTTTCTTTTTAAACATAATTCTCTACTACTGGAAGGGTCAGATAATGACAGAATGTTATCATGCTCAGTGACGAGACTAATTTCTTTCAAGAACTTGTTGGGGTGTGGTGATGGTGTGTGGGGAAGACCTTGGGAGACTGGGTCAAGAGAAGCTGCCAAGGGAATGGTCAGATAAGAGGTGGCATAGCACACAGCTGGATAGTGGGTGGGGCAAGAGGCTCAAAAGAGACCTTCCCTAATTTCTCAGGCTGTAAAGGAGACGGAGGGAGAATTGTACTTTCAGACTTGCAAGATTCTGTCAATATAGCTTTACAATAAAGTAGAATTAGCTCATCTGGTTGTGATTCCTATCTGGTTTATCCCGCAAGGCCAACAGTTGTAGGATTTGCAGAGTTTAAACTGCCCTAAGCTTATCCAGTGGCTTAGCCCTTAACCTGCAGCACTAGGGTTGCCTCTGGCATCACGCTGCCAGAGTTCACTCTACCTGACCATTTTGGACATCTCAAGAAAGCCTGAGAAGAGCCTGTTCTCCTTGAGAGGTTTGTGGGACCTGGATGAGGGGGCAGGCCTTCTTTGTGGCTGCCCCCATATTATGGCATATGTTACCCCTGCTAGCTCGAAAGCCGCCTTCCCTTCTTGCATTCAGAAACATTGTGAAAAGCTTCCCTTTTTCAAGGAGCTTTCTACTGTTCCTGATCAGTGTGGGGAGTTTCCTTCATAGATGCATGGATTTATGAAAGCTCTAACTGATGATTGTTTTATTATTTGTGTATCTTTAGTTTATTTTTCCTCTGTTGTTCTCAGCCCAGAGTTGTAACACTGGGACAATTAACAAACACCAGATATAAATAAGCCAATGTGTTTGTTTTTCCTGCACACCAATACTCTACACCAGCCAGGATTCCACAGAACCTTGGGGCTCTATCAGAGACTGTGGGAAAATAAAAAATGTGTTTTTGAACTATGCACATTGTGTAATGCTAGTGCCTGCACTGTTACAATCCCTCGCACTGCCACCTTGCCGCTTTGCTAGGGGTTGTGTAAGAGATCATAAAAAAAACATTGTTTTTTTTAACTTTGTGTGCTGCCTAGTGTTGGTTATGGATAGAATAATTTTTAGGCAGGGATTCTCTGCAACCTGAAAATAATAAAAGGGTAAAAAGGTTGAGAAAGGCTGCTCAACCTGTTTTCTGTCAAAATTTGGCCTGTTGCAGGGGACGGCAAAAAGAGAAGCTGGAATTCGTATGCAATCCAGAGGTTCCCCCACCCAAGTCATAAATTATTAGCTATACAGTTAGGGAAAAGGCTGACAATGCAGACTGAACATTAAGGATTACAGTATCTTTCAGGAACGTACTTCTCACCCAGTCCGTCTGGAGGAACTCAGCACCTTGGGAAATGTTATCAAGGACAACGCACAAGGCATTTAAATGACCAACATGCTCTTCCATAGGCTCTAAATTAGTTATAGATTGAATCAGGCTAGTGCTCGGTTTGAAAAGTAGCCAGATGGCAGGCACGGTGGACTGAAGCAGTTTGGGTAAGCGACACGAATGCAAAAAAGCACAGCTGAACTACAGAGTTGGGGAAACCCCAGAAGTCATCAACAACAGGTCAGTTACAGATCTGGAAAGGCCAAAAGACCCCAAAAGCAACATGCGCTTAAGCATCCAGCTGTTCTCCACCAGGGGAAAAAAATTGGCCTTGATACCAAAAAGGCTCGGGTGAGCAAAATCTAAACCAAAATCCTATGCGAAGTTGCGCTCCCATTTCTGAATGCAAACGCTGCGGTTCAGAGGAAAAAAAATCCAGGTAGCATGGACCCTCTGCTATACAACAGCATACCCATAACATGTGCAGAGTCGATTTCTGAGTTTTTCCCCTTTGCTGCTAAACAAAGGTTTACTACAGACTTACCTCAGATCGGCTGCTATTAAATTGAACCCATTGTAAAGATGTCCTTCCGCGGCAACTTTCTTCAGGTAAGAGTAACTATCCACATCTGACGTCAAGAAATTGGTCACCAGAGCACCTGCAAAGAGAGGGATATGACAAGTGATTTATAATGAGGGGGCACCACTTCCCAGAAGGAGACCTGACATTTCCTCACATCAGGTTAGCTCAGTAGTGTATCAGAACTGAATAAAATGCCAGAGTTCCTACTGGCCAAGGCACAGTATAAAAGCAGGTCACGTAAGATTAATCAATTCTGTGCTGAGACTGTCATGAATATGCAGTTTTTACATTATCAGGTTGTTTTCCTAATGCTGATGGAATGGGCAAGAGATCGTTTATCTCTTTAGCAAAGAGCTCGGTGCTGTCCACCTCAGCCCATCTTCGTCCGCAGTCTCAGACAGGGATCTTCCCAATCATCATCTACCTACAAATGCCAGAACTGAACATAGGTTGAACCTAGATGCAAAACGCTTTCTCAGTCCTTTATCTTAACACCCTTCCTGCCCCGTGTGAAGCTGGGAATCTTCCTTGTACAGACAGATGTCATAATGTGCAAAGAAAGTGAAGCTTCAAGCTCAAGTTTAAGCACTAACAACAGTTGGTTTTTATGTCTTTGCTGCTGCTTTAAAGCAGGCAAAAGAGAAGATGACGATGAGACACTTCCATTGGTTCTGGCAAAATCCCTGGTGGGCACAATACAAGTATTATCACCCCTTTTGACCAGAGGAGCAATAAAACCCAGCCCATCAATTAGAGTCTCGTTTGTTTAATAAATATAATATCTCACTAGTATGATTAATATTTGCTGGCAAGCCTTGACCAGTGAGCTTGATGAGGAAAAGAAGAATTAGTTTTTAAACCATGGATTGGGTTTCTTTTGGCAGAAGGGTGCATTAAAACAGGCAAAAGCATTAACCTTTGCCTGTTTTAATGTGATTCTACTTCCTGTTTGCATAATACCCTGCATTGGGGATGGGAGAGCTTGCATGCAAATTTTAAAATCCTGAATAATTGACCCAAACAATTCACAAAGAGAGGGCAGATTTTGCCTTAGGAAAATCTAAATCCTGTCTAGGGCTAAATTAATCCCCCGCAATCAATTAATTCTTTCTGTGTTATGTGAAAGTGGAAATTTAATTGTCCTTTCCAACATATGCCACTGAGATCAAATCCTAGTAAGGTGCTGGAAAGTGGGCCTCTCTAGACCTTCCAACTTTGTTGTCATTTTGGTTTCCACTTCTCCTGAAACCACATTAGTTGGGGAGAAACTATAACTAAATCACAGATTCTTATTTTCCCCTCCAAAGGGGAAAAGTTAAAGAAACTTGAAAGCAAGACAGGAAATAATAGTAGTTCTCCAGTTTTCTTTGCAGTGTTGGGGGTACTAAAAACATGCTGTCAGATGAGTGATCAAGTCATCATACAAGATCGGGTACCACCAGCACAAGGAAAAGAGTCACCTTACTGAGAGAAGGACAATGGGGTCACGTGCGCAGGATCTAAGAGAAGCGGGTTGGTCTCCTTCCTTGTATTGCACGTCGCCCGTCGCAGTGAAAGCCAACCAGCAAAGGAGAAAGATGGAAAGCCCTTGTGTAGAAGTCACCATAATAGCTATTGGCATCCAACTGTATGGGTTGGGACTTTGAGGTACACCTGGAAGGTGCTAGGTTGAGAGAGACAGGAACAGATTTGCATGCATCCCATCCCTTCTCATTTCCTTCTACATACTTGCCTCTTCCTCTTGCATTCTTGTTTATCTGCGGCTGCATGTAATTGGTCAAGGTGGCCATCTTGCCTTTTTTGCTGATTCCAAGCCAAGTCCCGCCTTCTTTCCCTTCTTCCATGTCCAAGCCTGCCGTGACAGCAAAAACAAATGTGTTACCTGCGTGCCATCAAGTGGCCTGCAGTCGCCATCAAACAAGCAGCATTCAAAGCGGTGAAGTGATTTCTGAGTATGGCTGCGTAAGACAGGAAACATGTACTGACTCAGTATAGAAACGTCACATTGATGGGACACCTGCCACATCGATGCTATGTAGAAGTCACACAGAAATATGCAACATCAGAACGTATTCATCAGCTCTCGCACACCACTGCTTGGAAGTCATATCCTCAATAAATAGCAGCCATGAACATCTACCCCTGGCACGTCAGATCTTGGTCTTCCCCAACCTGGTGCTCTCCAGAGACTTGGCTAAGCTGGCTGGGAACTCTTAGAGTTGTCATCCTACCACGGATGGGGGGTGCCCTATTGAGCCTGTGGCATTCCTTGTGTACTTTCAGGTCTGCCACTCAGACTAAATCATTTTTATTCCGCTGGAACAGTTTTGGAATAGGGAAGAATGCTGCCCAATGCCCCTACAGTAGCATTATTGCTAAAGCAGAGCCTGGATCATCCAAGCTTAGGGGAGAATGGAGCACTCTGCCCCTTTTTTCACCCAACTGTGGGTCCACACTAGCTGTGGGGAAAGGGGCTATCTAAGGAAACCAAGCAACTGATGGAGAGAGGGTCTTTTTTTCCCTCCCCCCCCAGCCTGTTCGCTTGCCTACACATCCTCCTTGGTCGCCCATGGCAACCAGGCTAGATAAAAATAAGGCTGCATTAAGGCAGAAGCAATGTAAAACAGTTTTAACAACTCACTTTCTGGGAAAGTGAAGAATGGGTCTAGTTTCACAGGAGACAAAAGAAGAAAGGCATTAGCTACACTACATAAGAAGCAGAAGCTGAACTACCAAACTTCTTGAGAAGTTTGACAGTTCAAGGCCTATGTCTTATAAAACTAGGCACAAAAAAAAGAAAGGCTGAGAGAGAGGATAAACACATCAAAACAGACTAGAGTGCTTTTAAAATTCAGATTTCAGCAGGCTCCCCTTCGCTAAGCATCTCTCTGTATAAAAAGGGAGAAGAGGGGAAGCATGAAGCATACCCATCAAGAATTTAGAACAAAAACCAGACTTTCAGAAAGTAAAAAGAACTTTGGTGCAGACAGAAAGAGTGAGAGAATAATTTATCCTCTACCTTCTCCCTGCCAATAACAACAACATCAAGCAGAAGAGAATCTTCACAGAGATGATTTAAAAAAAAATCCCTATGGCTTGTCTGCTCATGTCTCATTTTTATTTATGCGCATACTGAAGCATGTACTTCGGGCTGGCTAGGCAGGAGAGAGAGTGGGTCTTCAGCAGGCAACAGGCTAAGGAACTCTTTAAAAGTTTCTCACAGAAAGCTAATCGCTCGAGAAAGCTGGAGCAGTCTGCACAATTCAAGACACAGCACAAGTTCACAGGAACGCTTCTAAAAGGGCAGCATCGGGTCTGCCGAAATTGTGCCCTTAAAAAAAAACCAGGACTGGTGCAGAGCGAAATCTTGTATTTCACCAGGACTGTAATCGTGGGATTTCAGGGGCCAAACTAAACTGCTGCTCTGTAAGCTGTAAATACAACTTCGCTAAGGAATGAAGATAATGTTTCAGGAAATGTACCCTTGAAAACCGGTTGATAGTTTTTGAAACCCACTGGAAACATCCTTATCCACTTTGTAGGTAGAAGGGAAAATGCATTCTAGTACAGTGGTACCTT